GTCTTTAAACAGGCTGAGAGGAGGTCATAGCCAATCGCTTCCACACAATTCCGGAATAAGTTTTCGACAGCGATATATATATACGTTCAGTGTGTATAATATTCTGAATTTATAATTTAAAAAAAGCTCATAAAATATATCGGTAGTTTTTTTTTGAACTGCATGAGACCTATAGATATCGGTAACAATGGTTCGAACACTTAGCATGTCAAACATTTCTCATAAAATATATCGGTAGTTTTTTTTTGAACTGCATGAGACCTATAGATATCGGTAAAAATGGTTCGAACACTTAGCATGTCAAACATTTCTGTAAAATATGGTTTGGCAATTCATCAACGCTTACAAATTGTGTAAATTTTCTTTGAAAAAATAAATCTGTTCGCGAAGTTTATAGAGAACTTCGTCTATTTTACGGTCAATATAATAATCATATCAATGAGTAAAATTGCTTTATATGAAGCGAAGATGAGGCGTTAACGAATTATCATTACATCCATTAAAAATGATTGTTTGGTGCGGTGTATATGTTGGTGCCATTATAGGTCTTTATTTCGAAATAAGGAAGGAGTTGCCATTACGGTGAAGGGTTGACTGAATTTTTGTTTCCCAAAATTAATCAGTAAAACATAGCCATGGCAATTTATTTTCAGAAGTTGCTATTATGACCTGGTCTGTTAATCCCCTCGTTCGTGCGATTTTACGCCTTTCGATTACGTTTTATAGCTCAGCAACTTTTGAAGCATTAAAAGCCAATATACATGTCACAATTGATGCCATACGGGCGCATTTATTGCAAAAAATAGTCCGATCTAAAAAATTGGACTGATCGAATGGACCATGTATCTCGTAGCGTTGGCGGACATGATACCGGAAATCATATACAAAAAATACATGCCATAAAATTATCTATCAGATTTTAATAATAAAAATTTTATACTAATAGGAATGGCATAGTTCTAGTGCATTTGATGGGATTTGCTCTGAAGACAATGAAATTTGTTTTGATGGATTAATAATTTTTTTATGTTTTAACATATATAGTAATGCGGAATTATTCTTCACCGAATTGTGAAGTTTGTATATCGAACGATAATTTTTTATTTGTCAGCAGTTTTCAGCAAACATTTATTTAATCACATTTCAACAAGCTTAATCACACTAATTGTTTCAACTACTATAAATTATTAAGTTACATTTAATGAGTATTGTTTAAATATGTTCAAAATATATTTTATCTAATTAAGATTGAACATTTACTGCTTAATATGTAGAAACATGGATGGAGTAGTAAACTTAATTTTAAAAGTGTGTTTGGATTTATTACAGAAGACGGTAAACTGTTCAAGCTTGCATTGTGATGGGCTCCACAAGATCGAGTACAGCGATTCTTTTATTTTAATCTAATTAGCAAATTACTTTTGCATTTTAAGGTAACAAGAATGCATTCCAATTTTTTTCTTCAATAAATAGTAAAATAAAAAATAATTAAACTGAATTAATTGGAGAAGATACTCCGGTGTGTCGGTCCTTATTCTGAGGCGGTAAATGAAATGCGAAATAAAAACTATAAAAAGTTTTTTACCTCCTTATATCTACCAAAAAGGACGTAATCACATGCATACGTATAATTAGCGCTAATAAGAGTTTTACATACAGGGTGTTTCGTGGACATTACTTCGTATAAAGTTCGTTCGATGACTTCTGTTTTAACACCATTAACGGTTATTTTCGCAACAGAGTTGGATTGCAACTGATAGCAGAACCTTTATGCTCTACGTAGAATGAAAGAATCACATACTTGCATACAATTGCAGCTGATTAAAATTTTATATACGGAGTGTTCCCTATATTTAATAAAGTTAAGAGCTAATGCTTTGGAAAAAGAAATTAAAAGATCGTATAAGCAGGGAGGATTCACTCTCAATAAAACGAAACCTTTATCCAAAAAAAAATTATATAATTAAGCGTAGCTGCTGCAAATAATTAAAGTATCTTTTTCTATTAAAAATCTTTTTATTTAATTTTTAATCTGTTTTTGTATTTTATTGAGATTTAAAATTCAAACGAATGAGAATTGACTTTGTAAACTTTTTTCATTTTTGTAAAAGAATTTTTTTTTTTCAATGAATTGAAAAATATTGTAAAATTGTAAAAATAAAATTGTGCATGTGTTGTAAAGTCGAGAAATAGATATGAATTTATATAGTACGGATAATAAGTCCTTAAAGAAATTGCATACTTCTTAGAATTTATGTAATATTCATATTTTTTATAGACTACTTTATTTATTAAAATTAAATTCTTTTTAACTTACTTGAAATATCCCAATATCGCTAGAGATAGTAATATTGCTATTAATGATATACAATAGCCCACTTCAGATATAAGATTAATGCTGTGCTTCCACTGTAAAATAAGTTTTCAAAATAACGTTTTTTTATATATTAATAATACTAATACGAAAATTGTTTTAAATTGCATGTAAATTATATAAATTTCTTTGTAATATGTACCTCTAAATCATCCAGATTTACACAGGTTGTATAATTGGACCAGGTTTTGTTTGTTAGTGGATGCTTAAACCATTCTCCGTCCTCATCACACTCTTTGTGTGCATACCCTGCAAAATTTAATTAATTTGTTAAACCTTTTTATATAAACTACTTAATTTTTTAAATGCAAGCAATTTTAAATATAATTAAGACTAATGCAACCCCTCCTTCTAATATATTTCCAAAATATATCTTATTAAATAATTACCCTCATATGTTTAAATATCTGACATATTTAATTTCTTTCCCTATGTTCTCTTATAAAATAAGTAAGTATATAATTAAGATTCGTAGCCAGGAACTTACTTCTATATGTGTATATACTCGTATATAGTTATAGCTATGTTCTTAAGCATAATTGTTATTTAGTTCCTCATAGTTCTTATTTTATTTTCTAAATAATGACTATTTGAGAGTATAGTTATAAAATTTGAAAATAAAATTTATTTTCTGAAAACTAACTTTTAATTATAAGAAAACTATCTGAAATATGCTAACATAAGATGATTTTCTTCATACACATTTAATATTATTAGAGTAAAGAGCAACTGTAAACATTTTTTTTTTGATATAATAATAAATAGAATAATTAAAACTGAATTATAGAAAGCTTAACAAGAAACATTTCATTTGCTGAGCACTATGCTTTTGAAAAAGTATCTGAACATTGAAAACTGTTAACAAAATAAAAACCTCAAAAATTGCTTAAACATTCCTTCAATATAATGAAGTACCCGTTCAAGTTCTTAATAAAAATATGCAATTTGAAGGGAGAACAATATTCCAAAAAATTTTGAAATGTAAAGATTTAAATAAAACTATTTAAAATTTTTTTTTCCCTTGTTTAAAATAAGAACTATTTTAAAAATTTGTTGTTATTTTTATATTTTCAAAAATAGATTTACTGTGGAATAGATACGTTGTAAGTATAAGTATACTCATAACATTTTATTATTATTGGTCAGTTTTTATTTTTAAATATTTATTAATAGCTTATTATTAAAACTAGCAGTTTTTTTTTTTCTAATATAAAAAAATGTAATCAACAAAGATACATGTTTTCACAACCTGACCAATAAACCAATAAGTCTAATAATAAATATTTAAAATAAATTTCTTGGTCATGACATAAACAGTAAATTTTTAAAAACTGTTGGGGAAAACTAACCTTCGTGAAATATTTATAAATGAAATTGTGAGAACTCTTTTTAATATTGCACTTTAAGTAAATTATGTTTAAAAGTTGACTCAACTAATAAAAATAATAGAAATAGAAATAATAGACAGTCTGGCTAATCTTGAATAGATTTATTTTTAAGTTCATTTTTTATTTCTGTAGGCAGAGCGACAATGCTGTCACAGAAAACGAGGATGTAACGCCCCATTGAAATTTTAAGGAATTTCCACAGCTACTAATTGAAGTTATGTGTTTGGCATAAATTCCCACATGTGAGGAGCGAAGCCTACTTAACACCTCTGTTGATATTTGAGTTTCAGTATCCGGGTGGAGGCCGAAATTCCACATCGAATAAAAGTAAATAAATTTAATCATTCTACCCGCCGAAATTTGGGTTTGAACCACAGCCACTACGACATTCCCGTTAAGATGTCAACTTCAATTGGTCAGGACTCTGACACCGTGATACCAGTTTCACAATTCCGGTCAGGTGTCGTAAGTGAAACTCACTTACTATTATTTACACTCCAAACAGTGTTGGGTGGTGTCAGTATTTTAGTCACTACTTACGACAGTAAGTGCGTGCCTTACCTCGGAAATATTCTAACCCTCTTCCCTTCTCTACAATAATAGGTAGAAATTTGGCGAAAGTTCCACAAGTGGAACGCGTACTACATTAATGTTTCTCACATTCTACATTTTCATTAGTATAGCGTACAGATCGGAGTCGTGTAACTGGGTCGATTAAAACGATAATATTGAAATTAGTTGATGTTATATATAGGTATTAATGTTTTTTCATTTCAAAACAATTTTTTTAATAAAACATTTAGATTTGCCAATAGAGTTCAATTATTTATTATTTATTTGTTAATTTATTTCCTTTTTTTTTATATCAATAATATCAATAGTATCGATTGTATTTATTATTGTTTAAAAATAAGAATTTACTATACTCTAATACAATAAAATTTATTTAAATCACAAATTTTTATTTCCAAATCTCTTAAATTCTATTTAGTAAAATTGCAGTAAAGTTTTATGTTTTAATTTAAGCGAAAACATCTTTGGATAATTTGAAATCAGTTGTGTGGAAAAAAGTGAATACCAGCCACATCCGCTAACAGGATATGCCATAAAAGTTAATGGCTTTTTATATAATATGCCAATGTGCCAATTTTTGCACCAAAAGGAAGAATACACTATGCCAAAGAAGAAGAAGAGTGTGGCAAGAACTGTAGCTGGAGCACGATTTTTTGTGGTGTCATTGGACGTGAGCTGTTGGTGAAACTTACTCTAGAAGTTTATATTTAGTGTGAGTCATGTGCTCTGCACTAGAAAATGTTTAAATATTGTTGTCGATAGATTGACCATAAAAACACAACAAACCACAAAGAAAAACATCAACAAGTGTTAATGAAAGCAAACTTAAAAATACAACAATTTTCGTTGTATCATGGATTTCACATAAAAAAGTTAAATTAGAAATGGCAAACGGTTTTCATGGTTTCAGATATCAAAGAAAACATGTTTATATATACAGATATCTGGTTTATGTGATATGTAGTAACAGATTAACACGCGCATTCACACGTTTATGTATAATTTGAAAAGCTTCCATTGTCTGTCCGCGATGACAGACTCGCAGACTCGGTAGGAGAAAGTGTGCTCGCTGCGAACTTAATATACTTGAGGACATCTGTTTCCTGTTCTCCGGCTGTGGCTAATATCATTACACTCCCACAAAATGTTTGGTATCAAATTAACTTAAATTTGGCTGGCAACAATAATTTGCGAATTTCTGGCTTTTATGTTAAAAAGTTCATATTAAAACAAAACCCAATTGAATTACAAATTAATTAGCCTTAAAACACAACAGGATACATTTTGATTGCCTTTTGAAGTAGCATTTCTGTGGCACTGATCTGTGGCTTCTTTGGTGTGCATTATTTTGATTAATATTATTGGTGGCTTTATTTGTGACTTCAAAGCATAAGATTATCTCAAGTAACAAATAACACTTAATAACACTGATGGTTTTAAATGAAAATGAATGAGTGAAATGAATCCTTGCCATACTTCCCACAAAATGTTGAGCAATATAAATTAATTTTTATATTTCAGAATTGTAAATCATTTAAAGTAATTTTAAAATTTTAGCTTTTATTAATAAAGCAATTTAAAAAATTTTACGAGGGTTGCTTTTAAGTTATCCACTCTTATTTACTTAGCAATTTAAAAGTAATTAAAAGATTGATTCAGAATAATCAAACCACATAGTAAAAATCAATTAAATTTTATTCCGTCGTTTGTTTTTTATCTTCTCAAGGGTTTTTATTTAACTAGTAAAAAAATAAGTTAAAAAAATACGATTTTGAATGGAAATCCTTTTTAAGAATTCAAGGAACTGATTTCACTAGAAGGACTCCATTTTGCACATAAAAATAGCTTTAGTAGAACTAAAAGTAAAATCTGATGTAATAAAAGTAATAAAATTTTATGCAATGATTTTGTAGCTGAGTTTGATAAAATCGTGCGTGTTCACTGGAGCAGCACTAAGCCATTATAGGTTTGTAGATATTTATGTGCTATATTAAAAGGTTACAACAGGTCAACTATTCCTGGTTTATTATGTTGAGTGCTGTTTTTTCTTTCCACATATGCATGAGTACGTCCATAAATGTTAATGGACTCTTCAGGTCAAACATAAAATGTTTACATGCATGAAATCGAAAGTACGTATTCTCTGCATTAAAGCAAAAATGGCTTTCAGATTTTAACTGATTTTTTTACTATTTTGAATTACTTTAAATGGAGTATATATGTTTATTAATAAACTGGAAAATATTACAATAAAAATATTAAAATGTTAATTAGAGAGAGACACATAATAGTATGACGAATTACATGTATTCATACGTATTCACCTTGTTTCAATTTTAAGAATACATGTACCTTTACATATTCATATGGACTTAGTTCATATTTAGGTTAATAATGACAATATTCATGTTTATGTGAATATAGTATAGATAATATATGGAATATTAAGTGTAAGAACTATATTTTAAGTGAAAGGAAAAGCTCTTATGCTGCTATTAACACGATATAGTTCAAAAACTGGAAATTAAAAATTATTTACCAGTATTTACCAGAACTGCTATTACAGTCCTGTACTCTTTATATATTAAACTACAAGTAATCGGAACTTATATACCACTTATGAGTGAGATTGACATGCATAATAGCGAATTTATAATTAGAATACTAGAACATATTGACTACCTCTTTATCAGATGCTTTTTCTTCCCTCAATAACTTTTGTAAATTATCTGGAAAATCCTAAGTCCTAGGACTTGGGATTTTCAATTTCAATTCCACTTATTATCCAGCAACTCAATTTTTTATTTCAATATCTTGTACTTAGGAATTGGTATTTTCCAATTCCAATTCCCAACTATAAACTTGGTACCCAATTCCCAATTCAAATCACCCTGTAATGGTAATGAAATTGGTAAAGGAATTGATTTTGTACAGATCGTCATATTTATAAATATTTGATAAATAGTCATAATATTATGAAAGACCTTTTATTTTGATCAATTCTGAACTAACCAAAATAATTATTTGATTAGCCTGTAACTTAATAATTATCATATACATCATAATCTTTCTTGATTTCAATCTCAGGTCTGTCTCAGTTTTAAGTGCTCCAATATAACATCCAAAAGCTTTTCTCTTTATCAATCTTGAACAAACCAATATAACCGCTTGGCAGTACATCATAAATAGCGTTAACTTTCTTGGTTCCTATCGCGATTCTACCATAGTGGAAGGCTATTTTTACAGAACTAAACACCATATTCTTTGTTTTAATAAAATAATCCATTTGTAAATGCATTTCTCAATCTATGGCTGTATAATCTATACTGTATTCACGAACTTAGTTTGTTGTGCGATTACTTAATTTCTTTTCAATATAAAATTATAATTGTTAATTATATAATAAATTATGAAATTAAATTATCGTACCGTTAATATTAAGTAAGTAGAATTATTTTTACAACTGTGCGAATATCAGCACCGGAAACAAAATGTTCATATATTGCATATTCCACATACAGGAGTACATTTTATATTTATCCTCAATCTACTTATACTAATCTCAAATGAGTGTTTAAGACCCAAAGGACACTACTTTAACAATGCTTAATTTAACTTTTGATTCAAATTCAGTTTTGAAGCACTTTAAGGAGCAACACACGAGTATTTATTTGTAGTATAAATGTAGAGTAAATAAACAAGTAAATTGTACGGTAACAAAATGCAAATAAATTAAAAAGCATATCTAAAATCTGTAGGGAATGTTTTTCGGTAAGTATTCAAAACGAATTTCTATTTGTTAAGTATTTCAAGAGATTTTTCATTCAAAAAAAAAGTACCTTATACCTTACGAAAAGGTAACAAATTGAGCACAGTAAATTTTTATGAGGCTTCCACATGCAACAAATACTGCCACAACACAAATGCTGAGCCTTAGCTCGAAACGTATATATAGTCCATTTGTATCCTGTTTGGTATTTTCCTGTTTAGTATTTTCTTTTTCATTTTTGAGATTTTCTCATTTGTCATGCAAAATCTTTTAATACGTCGAGAGTCACACTCTCTGCTGGCTAGAACAAAGTGGAAATTATGTCAATTGGGAGCACATATCAGCTCCTATGGGTAGTATTGTATATCTGTTATAAAGCACTTGTAAGTCTTAAACAATCTTTACTTGTATTTTTTTTATTTTTATTTTTTTATTTTTGTGTAGAAAAAGATTGCTGACAACTGCTAAATTAAGAATTATTATAATTTTTTATTTTTTTTTTAATACCCATAATCTTTACGCCGGAAAATATTTTTATTAAATTTTTCCAGTGCATCAAGTATATCCCAAATACTGTTTAAATATAATAAATTTAAAATTTAGCTCAGCTTATAATAATAAATACTTACTTAATGGATCGAAACCTATTATGAAATCCGGACAAGGTTCGTAAGCGGAAGTGCCAGCAGCTGTATCCGGCCAACAAAGCCAACCATCAAATGTGCCAGGACAGAGTTTTCCTTTTTAACACAAATAACATAACAAAAATATTAATAAAGTGTAAAAGTGAAAAGTCCTTTTATATTTTTTATTTTTCTCTTTTTATATTTCAATTATATGCAATAGGAAAAAAAATAATTATACGATAAATTGTAAAGCAATAATTTCCGATTTAAGGCTCATATTTATTTAAATTTCCATTTATCTCTTAGTTATGTCCTTTTGTATTATTTTCTTTTTTATATTTTTTTTATTTTTTTTTTATATTTTTTTTATACCTTTTTATAAAATTTTTTTTTAATACTCACCTGCAACGTAATTCGTTGCTGTTTTGTTTAAGCGCTCGTAACATTGTCTGCGAAGCTTTACGAAGGGGTCGGGCGGAGCTTCCGTTCCATCTGATTCCGCCGTACCGATTCCGCCGGCAACTAAATTGGAACTTGTTGTTGTTGTCGTTGTTAATACGTTTTGTAGAATGGCAGCTATGGAACTGGCAGTGGAATGTGCACTGCCAGAAATTTGATTTTCACCCATTGTTTTTTTAATACTGCCTTTGGAGTATTTTTTATTATGATTTTTATTTGTTCAAACAGTTTATATTTTTTTGTTGTTTTGTTTTTCTGTTATTGTGTGTTTTTATTTTATACAAAAAGGATTCTAAGCTACGTTTCCATAGACGCCGACACACACATATCTGCATACAAACGTAAGGACATAAATATTTGTGTGGATTTATGTTGTTGTGATAGATTTTTTTCTTCTTGTTTTCTGTTATTTCAGTTTGTTTGCTTTACAGAAGGTTGATTCTGTTGCCTTTATCCTTTATCAGTTATTTAATATCCTTTTGGTATTATTTAGTAGATGTTTTCTCATGAATACAAAAGTTAAATTGAATTTTATCGTTGCTCTGAAATAGATAAATAAAGTATTTTAATAAATGTTGGAAATTAATATTAAGTAGAATTAACAGAAATACAATCTAACAATGTGAAATAGAATTTCGTCTAACACTTTGTGAAAAGATGAAGATTTAAAAGATATATTATATTGGAATGCTTTTCAAATATTTTATAAAGAATTGAAAAAAATTTTTTCTTACATTGAAAATTTTTGAATAAGGACAAAGCTGCTGCAAGTAAATTTCAATAGAGCTGACACAAAGCATGTCCTTTTCAAGTGTTCAGCAGTTTTAAGTAATTGATTCCATCGTATCACATTGAAAATATTCAATTTTGTTCTTCTCTGCAATTTGTGCACATATGTCGTGCATTTCAAATCAATTTTGCTGCGGATTTGTACTCCGTTTCAATGAATTCATTTTGGATTTCTGGTATTCATACGCCAAATGGACTAATGGTTAGATAATCCGCATTAAATTGCATTCAGTTTGCATTTTCAATATCTACTAATGATTGTTCTAATTTTTTTAATTTCCTTTTAAATACTACAGTCTTGTTAATTGTTTTTTAATTATACTCCAACACTATAAAGAAATTTGATTAATTGCAAATGCACTTATATTAAATTTCATGGATTCAATTGGAACGAAAATAGTTGTTAAAATAGTATTTCTCTTATACGTGGAATTCGTATACTAGATTGTTCAATAAATTGATGAAGCAAAAACCATGCGTAAATAGTAAACCTGAACACTCGACACCACCCAGATTCTATCTTTCTTTCGTAGAGGTGCAATTAACAAAAAAAACATTGAAAATCGTGCATTCTGTATAAAAAATTTGTTTATATATCAAAAACGTTCTTAGCCTGCTGCTTGAATTGTATTCTAGTAGGATCAATGAGCTTTTGGGTCAAAGATTGCAGTTTAGGGGTAAATTCAAACAAAATGGAACTGATTTGTTTATTGGGACAATTAAAATACCCAACTTTGACCTTCCTCAACTAAATCCTGGATTTAAAGCTTACTTAAGGCTAAGTACATAACAAAAGGGCAAAAAGGACGAGTACTGTCCAAACGACCAGTTAATAGGAAATGGGGTCTCCAACATAAATTAACACATTGAATGTACAATAGGGTGGTTTCTTAACTTCATTTGTGCACGTTTCTACTGAGTAAATGGTTGCACTTCAAGATCCATGCATACCCTACCCAACCAAGAATTCAAGTATAGTGTGTTATTCATTTCTTTACATTTTATATCTAACCACATAGTTGCCCATATGATAAAGGTTAAGACCTTACTGATGTTGTAGTTTAATAAACTTTTAATCTGTGTGAAAAATCAAGCTTATTTAGGTATTTATAAAAAAAACCGATCGAGTCTAAAAATATTTTATTTGAAAATTAATTGCTGCGCCAGAAAGTATGCAATATGTTTATGAGATTCTAAAATTTGATGATCTAGTTAAGTTTTCAAGAAGAAACAATGTCATATTTTAAGTTGACAAAAACGTACTAAAATTTTATTTATCATTTGTCAAGTAAAAACTTTTGTTATAAAAAAAAATCATCTTTAATAAGTTTATTACTTTCGTTTCAAAAAATTGTTTATTTTACAGTTTTCAATTCATTTATACAGTAAGTAAAGTTCAAAAAATTCATTTCATTTTGTAGTAGAATAAATTTTGAATTTTAGAAATTGATCAGCAGTTACAAATAGTAATAACTGAACAAACTGAAAAAAAAATAAACAAATGCATATACGTATACCATTTGAAGGTGTTTTCAAACATATATACTTTAATTTCATGCGTGTTTTCCAACCCATAAATCGTCATATGCAGCACTCGAGGCATTTCCTCCTTTTACAGCGAAGTCTATTAAATTTTCAAACAAATAAACTTTGAACATCGGTTACGAATATTTTATTATTAAATTTTTCGAAGAAGTGGAGAATGTTGCATGGAAACCACAATGCGTTAAGCATGGTTGTGACATTTTGAAATATATATATGAATATGACAAAAGCAGTTTTTTCTGCAACGAAATGAATTTCATCATATTAGCTCAACAATCTTTAGTGAAATGCTATAAAGTAACAGCTGAAATACGAATCAATTGTTATATGCCGAAAGCACAGATTTCTATTTGAAATAGAATATATAACCTTATAAATCCGCTTTTGCTTGTTGTGTTATTATTTGGATATGTGAAATAAGTAAAATGAAAAATGCCTTTTTGTTAAATATTATTAAAATTAAATAAATATGAGTGTCGCATAGTTTACTTACACGGCGCCATTTTTTGACTTAATTTCAAGCGTGATTTACGATTTTTAGAACTGGTAAAAAGAATCTGTATTAAATTTTGTATTGCAAATGAAATTTATTGTAAAGCAAAATAAAGCTTAATCATATACATATATCAGGTGCAGTGCATAAAACTGTTGAGATGTGGTGGAAGGTCTATGTCGTTTTTGTCGGCCAGTAACGTGTTCAATTGAACATAATGTCGTTACAATAAAGAAACGGTTGTTTGTATCTTCATTTTATTCTGAAAAAGGCAGTCTCTGAAATTTTTGTATCTCACGAATCGATTTGTACCATTTCAAATGATTCTTTGGGCATGAAACGCGTTGTTGCTTGACTTGTGCCGGTAGAATTTAAGTCTTTTGAAAGAACTCAGTGTCTTTAATTTAAGCCAAAACCGAAAAAGCGGTTATAGTGTAATTGAAATTGTTACAATAACGTAGGAGATTAAATAGGAAATATTTTTTGAACATTATGTGAGGTCTAAATAAGACAAGATCTGTAGAAAGAAAACTCATAGATTTTGCACAACTATAACGTATCATCTTTTTATAGTACCTTCGTTTTTATAAATAGACGCAAATGGCTATACGCTTCGTAAGGATTCAACAAAAATATGTCGTCGCTGGATTGGAAACCACTTTTCTAACATGGCTTTGATCGACTTTTTTCTTTTTCCATAAACTTAAATTATAACCTTAAAGTATCCGTTTTCAATCAATAAATAACATAAAATAGATTTCACGCCGTGTACTGAAGTCGATTCTAAAAAATTAGTTAAAGAAATTGTTTTGATGACTGTGTTATTCGTTGTCATAAATGCATGATTTCTGGAAAAGATCTACTTAGACAAAATAAATTCTAATGAATAATATATATTTTACGTTTCATTGACTGACTTCTGATACTTTCTTGACACTTCCGGTACTTGTAGTAAATCATATTTATTATTGCATGTTTATTAAATTATATGAAACATATTAGCTTTCATTAAAATGTATAAGACGTTTGTAGAACTTTTATTGAGACAAAAACTGTCATAAATATTTATGTATAGAGTATATTTACGAATAATTCTCGAAAATTGACTCAATATGAGGTCATTATAACTTCTTTTAAGCAAGAAATTAAGAACAATTATTAACCTATTTTATAATAAATTTTTAAAGATTTAATAATAATTCATATATTGCTGTAATTGATAGTAAAGTATTTTATAATTAATTTCTTAAAATTTAAAAATAATTATTTTTGTGTTTAGTTATTTTTTGTTATATATATCATCATTGTTATTATTGTGAAAAGGGGTAGTGCACTGCGATCTAAAAGATCTATTCTGCCTCTTAGTCGGATGAGTGTGTTTCTTCAAGTCCGAATTCTTTAATGAAAGACAGTATAGAGCCTATCTTACCTAGTCTTGAATCTTTATGATTCATGAAATACCCTCATAGGTCTTTCTTTCGCTTGTGCATCAGTGCGGGCACTGTGCAAGCACCTGACATGCAGTTTCTCTCTCTTCTCTACAGTATCTGTAGTCTGAGTTGGACTGAATTCCTAACTTCGTTAGAAGATTATTTAAACTACAGTGAATAGTCAGTAATCTCGTAAAAATTTTTAGGTTATTCTTTGATTTTTTTTTTATATATAACAATAGCTAAAACAAATCATTAGATTTTATTTAAAGAAAATGTAAATTAAGTGTTTTAATTATAATACGCTAAACGTTTATAATATTTAATATATTTAATCATTTAAATTTTATTTTAACAATTTTAAAATATACATTAA